AAACCATTGTAAAACGATGGTAAAACGATTGTAAAACCATTGTAAAACGATTGTAAAACCATTGTAAAACGATCGTTTTACCATTGTAAAACCATTGTAAAACCATTGTAAAACGATGGTAAAACGATCGTTTTATCATTGTAAAACCATTGTAAAACCATTGTAAAACCATTGTAAAACGATGGTAAAACGATTGTTTTACCATTGTAAAACGATTGTAAAACGATTGTAAAACCATTGTAAAACGATTGTAAAACGATGGTAAAATGATTGTAAAACCATTGTAAAACGATTGTAAAACCATTGTAAAACGATTGTTAAACGATGGTAAAACGATGGTAAAACCATTGTAAAACGATTGTAAAATGATGGTAAAATGATTGTAAAACCATTGTAAAACCATTGTAAAATCATCGTGAAACGATCGTTTTACCATTGTAAAACCATTGTAAAACGATGGTAAAATGATCGTTTTACCATTGTAAAACCATTGTAAAACGATGGTAAAATTATCGTTTTACCATTGTAAAACCATTGTAAAACGATCGTTTTACCATAGTAAAACCATTGTAAAACCATTGAAAAACCATTGTAAAACGATCGTTTTACCATTGTAAAATCATTGTAAAACGATGGTAAAACCACCGTTTTACCATTGTAAAACCATTGTAAAACCATTGTAAAACGATGGTAAAACGATCGTTTTATCATTGTAAAACCATTGTAAAACCATTGTAAAACCATTGTAAAACGATGGTAAAACGATCGTTTTACCATTGTAAAACCATTGTAAAACCATTGTAAAACGATCGTTTTTCCATTGTAAAACCATTGTAAAACGATCGTTTTACCATTGTAAAACCATTGTAAAACCATTGTAAAACGATCGTTTTACCATTGTAAAACCATTGTAAAACCATTGTAAAACGATCGTTTTTCCATTGTAAAACCATTGTAAAACGATCGTTTTACCATTGTAAAACCATTGTAAAACCATTGTAAAACGATCGTTTTACCATTGTAAAACCATTGTAAAACCATTGTAAAACCATTGTAAAACCATTGTAAAACGATCGTTTTACCATTGTAAAACCATTGTAAAACCATTGTAAAACCATTGTAAAACGATGGTAAAACGATCGTTTTATCATTGTAAAACCATTGTAAAACCATTGTAAAACGATTGTTTTACCATTGTAAAACCATTGTAAAACCATTGTA